TCTGGTTAGCAGGCAAGTGTCTTAGCCACTATGCTACCAGAGCTCCCATATGAGCATATAGAAGTTTTATGTTTAGCTTTTCTCACACATTTCTATTTTTTTATTAAAAAGAGTTGAAATACAATATATTTCTCTGTTCTTTGATTTGAAATTATATTTTTCTTCCTTCTTTCAGTTTGCCATCAAAAACAGGTTTAGGCATCGGAGTAAGGAATTTCCAAAGAGGGAGCACTGGCTGGACTGGGCTAAAGAGAAATATGATGTAAGTAATAAGTATTATTAAATGGCCCCAATTAATGTCCCCCTAAAAAGTGAAAATCCAGAGTCTCGATTCATAGTATTAAGTGCACATGGACAGATTCATTTGTTTAAACATTTATAACATTTATTAGCATTTTATATAATATTACATGAGAAGACATTTTCAAATTGAGAAGAACTTGATAAATAATGAGTAAAATTTATCTGGAAACAGTATTACCTGTTCATAGGCTTTCATTCTGTATAAAACCAAAATCAAACCCAGAGTGACACTATATACTATATTAAAAAAAGAAAAAAAAAAAGCCAACTCATTACCATCGACTCATAGTGAACCCCCAATTGGGTTTCCAAGGCCATAAATCTTTACAGAAACAGACTACCTAATTTTTCTTTTGCAGAGTAGCTGGTGGGTTTGAACTACCAACCTTTTAATCAGCAACCAAATGCCTTAACCACTACACCACCAGAGCTCCTTATATTCTATATACCAAAAAAAAAAAACAAAAACAAACCCACTGTCATCAAGTCAATTCCAACTCATAGCAACCACCATTGGGTTTCCAAGGTGGTTATCTTTAAGCACTTAGAATACCCCATCTTCCTTCTACTGAGTGGCTGGTGGATTTGAACTGCCAAATTTCTAGTTAGCAGTCAAATGCCTTAGGAGCTATGCCACCAGAGTTACTTATATTTTATATAGTATAATACAATTAGATGTAACTGCAATAATATACTTTAGTTTGAATGCAGAAGAGTCAGTGATTTGGGGGAGGGGTAGTGAATTCTAGTAATTTTACCTCCTAAATAGGTGTTTTAATACTTATTTTAGATAGCATAGACATTTTCACTATTCAAATGAAACCTGTGGTAGAGTTCTTTAGAACAACTAATCACCATCGAGTTTGTCTAGAAATACATATATTTATACACTGAAAACTGAGCAGTCTATTGTAGCTGTGAGTCACACACTAGTCATGGATTTGTTCTTCCCCCACTCCAATTGCAGGAACGGCTTATTTCTCAAATTAAGATGGTTACGAGGGTGATGTTCCTGTATATCCCACTTCCAATGTTCTGGGCATTGTTTGATCAGCAGGTAATGTCTGAGTATGTTTCTGTGCTTCTTCACTGAACAAACACTTTGGGCACTACAGTGGACCAAGCAGTGTTAGCATTTAGCTCCTTACTTTCAGGTATTTCGTTTATTTGACAATTGTTAGACCATATTGACTTTAAGAACATCAATTCTAGATGGTTCTAGCTACATTTCTGTTGAAAGGCAATGAAGAAAATTAAGTGTGATCAAGTAAAGTAGCCTTGGGAAAGATTTGACCAAGGCATCTAGGAATGCTCGCCAATTAAAATCAAAAGAGTTTTTTTCTAGTGATGCAGCACGATAAAAAGGCATATTGCCTTTAAGGGACGTGTAGAATAAACTGAGAAGGGATCAATATCTCCATTGTAAAATAGAAAAGCTTGGGCTAGAAGTACTGCCTGGGGATGTGAAATGACTCCTCTGAAGTCACCCATATTAGAGCAGTGAACCAGAACCAAAACTTCCTGACTTCGTGTTGTGTTCTTTCTACCACAGCTGTAAGACATGTGCCTGAGAATTTTTCAAAATCATATTTGACAACTCAATTCATGATGCTCAGTAGAGAAAGTAATGAGATAATGCTTCCAGTAGAAATTGGAATTTTAAAAAATTATGAACACAGATATCTTTGAAGAAATTTAAGCTTACACATTGTTTGGGTCCTCTAGTGCTGACAGAAATATACCACAAATGGGATGACTTAACAAACAGGATTTATTCTCTTACAGTTTACCCATTGCCATCAAGTCAGTTCCAACTCATGTGACCCCCTTTCGGTTTCCAAGGTTCTGAAAGCGGTATAGCCCACATCAAGACTGAGGATCAAATTAGAGAACACCATAAAGTGCTCAGTGACTGGCAGATATTAAGAATGCAAACCACAGCTTATTTCTTGACTTTGTCTTCCTAATAGATTGATGTGTTCATGTTGAAACACACGTTTAGTCCTCCATGGAAATAATCATATATAGTTGTATACTCCTGGGACATCTTTTACTATAGGTTATATATAACAAGGCTTCCCAGATTTAAACTCATCACTCTCCTGATGGAGATCAAGTCTAGCACAGTCCAGACTGTCAAAAATGGCTCTGAACCACAATAATGTACTTGAAACTATGCCACCAGTGAGTGTCTGACAACCTCACTGTAAGTAGCTGCTTTCTCCCTATAGGTGATGTCATGATTTCCGACAAGCCTCAGAAGTATATTTTCATATTTCCTAAGTATAGCTTATCCCACAGCACTGCTTTGGACAAACTTCTTGAGGAGTTGGAATTCTGCATATTGTGCTTATTTATACAGCAGAAACAAATGCAAGTTGTTTCTTTATACCCCCTATTACAGTGAAGCCAGGAGATTAATTTGATGTTAAAGAAAAAAAAAAAAAATCCCATAACATTTCAGACCTTATTCCTGATTTGGAAAGGCTCACCATTGACTTGTAAAAGCTAAAAAGCCCACATTCCCAAATGATGCAGTAAATTTGTTTTTAAGGGCTCAAGGTGGACACTCCAAGCAACAACTATGAGTGGGAAAATTGTAAGTTTTAGATATCAAGGTATTTTACTTTCCCTGGTCACTATTCCTTTGTTTTAGTCCCTTTTTCTCTTTTCTCCTTCCCTTTCATGTCATTCTCATCCCTTCCCAGCAACTGATCATCTGTGAAAGTTTATCAGTGACATTTTTTTTTTTTCTTTTTAGGGAATTATTGAAATTCAGCCAGATCAGATGCAGGTAGGAGAACATATTTAAGTTGTTCTCGGAGATCAAGGTCATCTTTGAGACAAAAATTAACATTCTGTCTCTACTGCTCTAGACTGTGAATGCCATCTTGATCGTTATCATGGTCCCCATTGTAGACACTGTGGTATATCCTCTGATTGCAAACTGTGGTTTCAATTTCAGGTAGGTGACATTAATTTGGGCTGGGGTGAGCCTTTATTAGTCCTATGGCATTGCAGATAGGCTGAGTTCTCTCAGCCTGGTGTCTCAGTGAAAAGAACTTAGGGATCCCCTTCCCCAACACCATCTATATGATGGAGTTTTATACAGGCAATCAGATGTATTTGACTGTGTGCTGATGGCTCTGAAAAAGTGCAATTAATAGCAGCCTGCTAAAACTTTTAATTAAGGTTCCCTTATATACATAGATGATATAAATTTTAACTGTAACCCCGAATGTTGTCTGAAGTAGAGTTTATAGAACCAAAACCAACTCACTGCCATCGAGTCAATTCTGACTCATAGCAACCCCCATTGAGTTTCCAAGGCTATAAATCTTTACGGAAGCAGACAACCTCATATTTTTTCTGTGACGTGGCTGGTGGGTTTGAACCACCAACTTTTGGTTAGCTGCCAAATGCCTTCACCACTACACCACCAGAGCGCCTTAGAGTTTATAGAAAGTAAATGTAATAATACAAAGGAAAAGTTGTTTAACATTTATACTCCTTAGTCTTAGTTGTAAACAATAGAAGGAAAGACACTTTGAATCCCATGTGCTTTGTAGAAAAGTTAGCTTTGTTTGGCCGGCGGGGAGGGGGCAGCATTGGTAGGTAAGAAGTGTTTCCTTTGGGGGACTATAGCTCTTCTGTATGACACTGGTTGAGATTCACTCTCTCTTTGTCCTGAATCAGCTCCTTGAAGAAGATGACAGTCGGAATGTTCCTGGCTTCCATGGCCTTTGTAGTGGCTGCCATTGTACAAGTGAAAATTGATGTAAGTTGTCTTCAGATTCTTGAGTGCCCTCTCTCCTAGTTTAGGTAGAATGTTCAGAAGCCCTCTTTCTCCAGGACTGAAAGGAGTAGGGAAGGCCAGGGTCTTTCCCCACAAACTAAGCCCTGTAGCTACGGAAGATGTGAAATAAAGGGAAAATATATCTATTCCTTACTTATTGACTATCTCATTATCTGACATTTTGCATTTACAACCATAGTGAAAAATCTACTGTCCAACTATTTTGAGCATTAATGATGTAGGTCTGGCAGTAACCAATGCCAAGGTGTAAGGTAAGAGCAACACTGGCTGTGATGGTTAAGGTTATGTGTCACTTTGGCTGAGCCATGATTCTCAGTGACTTGGCAGTTATGTAATGATATAATTTGGCAGTTAAGTAAGGTTGTAATCTGCCAGTTATATAATGATTTAGTCATCCTCCATTTGCTCATAATGCTGATTTTTCACATAACGACTTGGTCTTTGGAACCTAACCATGTCAATAAGTGAGGTGTGGGTGTAATTTCTTTCAGTCAGTGTATACTACAAATTCTTATCACTGCAAATGATGCAGATGGGAATATGATCAAATGGGTGGGTTTAACTGGAAGAAAAATTAGATAATAGTTACATAAATTGCCTCAATTTATAATAGTTTTTTTTTTTTTT